ACTCCTTATTTTCATCCCCACTTGTTCCTCATTGAAACCATAAAGGGAGTTCAAAAAAATGAACCCAAAACAAACATATTAAAAAATCATAATTCTTGAGAGCTTTTACTCATCAAACTTCTTTAATATAATCAAGGATTGATTAAAGTTACATGTGGATTATTGAAGAACTTTATCTTGATCATAGCTACTAGCAAAACAAAAAAGAAAGATTTTTTCTCCTACTTCCTTTACTTGAACCCCATATCTTGTTCACCAAGCCACAGTGACTATGTTTTGAAGTCCTATCAAATTGATCATCTTTCGAGTATGGATCTTACCTATAAGGCACACAAATTTAGAAGAGATCACAGTGTCATTCCATTCAAATTCTAGGGAAAGGATGGAGTTTTCATCTTTTGCCAATCGAATTATGTTAAAAAAGGATCTGATGTGATCATTTGCTTCCTACAATTAGGCTTGTTCCCATTGGTTTCTACTGCCACTAGTTTTTGTTGCCACTATTGTTTGACATCTATGCATGGAAGGGGAGAGAGGGGTTGGCTATTACATCTTGAAGAGGAGGGTGGAGGGATGGCAAGTTGTTGGTGGGTAGATCATGAAGGAAAGAGAGGTAGGCTACTATGATTATAAAGAGAATGAAGAGGAGGCACCAAATAGGAGGAAGGGAAATCCCTAGCTAGGGAGAGAGCCTAACCTAACTCTAGCTAGGTAGCAATTGCCACAATCCTACCAATATTGTAGGATTGAAATGGCTTGCAAAGGAAATTAGAAAAGTTCTAACATGTGTTCATAAGTTCCAAAACCCACAAAGTCTATTACATAAGTTCCAAAACTTTTCAAAATGTTCCTAAATGTTTTCACATTCTAACCCTCTTCATGTTTTTAGGGAAGTCACAAAGTTCTAAAACATTTTAACAAGTTCTAGAACATTTAATTAGATTTGAAATTTGAATGAGATTGAAGACTTTCCATTCTTGGGTAGAACCACTAGTTGGCATTCAGATATGAGCTTGAGGATTTAAAAAGGCTTTTTGGGTAGGTTGGAAGAATATGAACAACACTTAAGCTCCCTTGACAATAAAGATGCCAACGCTTCCAACCTTTATTCTTGATCTTAGTCTTTTTATTTGATCAATTCAATGACCATGTGTATTTGATTCTCTTTCTTTACCAAAGTGGGAAAGTGCTGGATTTCTTGTTAGATTTAGAACACTACCTTGAGGAATAACAATGGTTTGTAAGAGATTGTAACAAGGGTTTGGGTTGTTGAAAGTGATAGAGCTGACAAAGTTATTACTAATGGTTTCCTTTACATCTAGAAGTTTGAGGAGAGGCTTTAAATGCAAAACAAACTCTTAAGTAAGTGGCCTAAAGAGTAAACTAGGTACAAACTATAACTGAACCACTATAAATCTTTGTGTTTGAACTTTTTCTTCCCTTAATTCTTTTCATTTCCACACTTTAATTCTTTTGTTTGTGAGTGCATTACTTGCTTATTGTTTTGATTTTAAATTTTGCATAAGTTTTCAAAAACTCAATTCACCCCTTTCTTAGATTGCCGTCATTTAAGCCAACACCTATATGTATTAGGCTCCTACAACTC